ACGAGTACTTGCCACTTGGCGAACAGGCGACGTGAATCAAGCGGCCCACCTCCTTCGCAGCCAGCCAGTCCGCGACCAGACTGTGCCAGTTAGAAGACTGCGTCAACGCGGATCTTTCGACTTCTGGAGAGAAGAGAGCACCAAACTCGAAGAGGCACACGACATGAAGTTTCTGCTTTTCGCAGGGGACTCCCTGGAAATAACCTGTCCTTGGTAGGCAACCTGAGAAAACCAGCATCCATTTTTGCCGCGCACCATAACACGTCGACCCTTCCGAATAGAAGTATTGTAATTATCTGAGCCGCTTGAGTGAGGTATATCCTGATTGATCCATGAAGCAGAAGAAGGGGATAACTTAATTTTCATCATTTTTCAGGAGAAACAAAAAACGGTTTGCAGGGAAAACTTAATTCAATCAGATGACTGACTGCTACAATTGCATTTTTGAGAAAGCCTAAGAATTAAATGAAAATTTCAAAAGTGTAGCATTACTTTGTAGACGGTTTCTGTGATTTAAATCTTTACGTTGGAATGGACTACGGAACCATGTTCACTTAGCTCTCCGAAGCAAGGCGGAATTCGGAGACAGTTCAAGTGGAGCTGAGGTCTGCGTAGAGTCTGAATTTCTGTGGTACAGTTTTGGAGTTACCTCTTTTTCCCAACTACACTGTGGCGAAAAGGTACGAAAAAATCTGTTAATTTTTTTGCCAGGATTCTCCGTAGCTCTCTTATCAATATTCTCCGTAGGCTCTTACAGTATTTCTCCGTAGGACCGCACAGTCTTCTCCGTAGGACCTGGAAGACTGTATAGTCCTTCGGAGATCACTGTAAGGTCCTACGGAGAATACACTACAAACCTAACTGTCTACACTTACAAATGCATGCCTGCAAGTACACACTTGCAAACGCATGCTTGGCCAAGTACACACTTACAAATGCATGCTTGCAAGTACTGGGCTTGTAATAGTCACACTTTAAGTGTTGTACAGTGAACATTCTCCATATTATGGTGGTACAGCTGACTTCAGGCACGTCGGAACGTCAAAAAAGTTGGGGGGGGGGGAGTCAATGTATTGCTGGTTGCCTACCTCCCAGGGCATTGACCCGGGGCAGCTCGAAAACTGGAGGGTCAGCTGACCCTCTGACCCGGCGCTTCCTACGCCACTGGCTGACTTCATAACCTTATAGATACTTATAGATGCTTATAGATATCTTGACGAATTTCGTTAATATCATGGAGAAAATCTCCGCCGTTGGTGCAGCCTTTCACCGTAAAACATTTACAGTGCATTTGTAAAAGTGCTTCCTCAGGAATGCACCTGACTAAACTTGCCTTTCGGTCTGGTAGAGTCGTTTTCTGGCTTCAAGGCGGGACACAGTCCTGCGGACAGCACGAGCGCCGTGAGCAGTTGCAAGGAGCGTGCAACCGGCATGGCAACTGATTGGCGTGCGTAACAGCGCGTGGTCTGCCCTGCGGCCGAGGCGTGCCGGCAATTTGACCACGGCTAAGGCCAATTGCAAGATCAATGAGAATAGCGTATGGGCACGCGGCACAAGAGGGGGAAAAGGGGCGGGGGGCAATTCGGGTCGCAAACAAGCAGTCGATGCAGTTTACAAGCCACACAAAGGGGCGTACTCACGAGGAAAAGTTGCCAACCCTCAAGGCAAGGGGACCACCACCCCGTCGTCCTGTGTACAGTACAACTTGAATCGCAGCAATCCATGCTGCAATCACGTAACCAATCTTCTCATGAAATTTTTGCCCTCCTGAGCGTGTTTGAACCAATTATCCAAAATTTGATAAGGTGAGATTCCCTGCATTTAGCGGGCATTCCTTCGGAGAACCATTGGTTGCCGTCGCATTAATATGCGCACTGTACAGTACAGACGCACACTTTAGTTTGCAAAGTATACGCCTTCTGATTGGCTCCGTCCGACCTAACCAATCCCCGGAGCCGTGGCAAGCCGATCCCTGTAGCGCTGCCAAATAAAGAGTGTGGTCCACTTCAGGATTTTTTAAATTAATTTTCAGCAACAACTAAACGGCCGCGTCTCACGCGTGGGACGCCTTTTTTTCCTGAGAATGAGAGATTGTCAACGCCGCTTTTCGACGATACGAGAAATAGCAGATTTGCGTTTTCCAGTTCGACCCGTTTGGATCGTTGGCTCGTTTTGAGCCGAACGATCTTTGATGCATATCTTTCGACTCCTGATAAGAAACAGAACCTTTAATGACAAAATTGTTAAACAAGTTCTTTGACTACACACTAAATGTTTATGTACAGTTTTGTACATGGCGATGCATAATTTTAAACTTGTGTACCGTCGTGCATAAAATTGTGCGTGAATTTGCATATTTATGCATCTTTACGAATGATATTATGCAAATTTCACGTATGCACAAAATCGTGCTAGTTGCACATACAAAATTCTACCTATACATCTTGAGTGTCTCTCTGTACTCTGTAGGCCCGACGTCCATGTCCACATCTTGGTCCACGGAGTCGACATTTCTCTTCGGGTCAGGAGATAGCAGAATGAGGTCTTCCTGGCTCTGCTTACTTCTTGAGGTGGACGCGCCATCCCAGGACTCCCTGACATGTGGAGTTGCTGCTGACGCTTCCGCTTCCTTCTTCTTCTCTCTCTTTCTTTCTATAGAATGGCCAAAGCCACAGCTTTTATCATGTCAACTTTGGTGATCTTCGGGCTTTCATTCTGCCTGTCTGCCTGACACCCTCTTGCTTGACTGTGCCACTCGCCTCGACTTCCACCTTGGCCTTCTCCTCTCTGTCCATTCCCTCGGTAGCTTCCTTGTCCCTGGCCACCTCTCCCTGTGCCTTCGTCTCTCCGATGAAGGGGGTTTTGTCACACACTCTTGCGTAATGGTTCAGTTCACACATCTGAGGCACTTCTGGCCCCATGCCGGATAGTTTCGCCACTCATGCCTCGTGTCACACTTCTTGCACTGGTAGACAAAAACTTGGTCATGCCTAGAAGTGGATGCCTGCCTGGAGCATGGGGCTTTTGGCTCACTTCTATCAGCCTTGAAGCGCTTCGCAGAGCTAGTCCTGATACTGTCAACTTCCTTGGGACTGTCTCTCTTCACCTGCTCAGCCGCTTTGCAGGTGGCAATAGCATCTTTGAGAGTGAGGCCTGCTTTTGGCCGCAAGGTCTCGCTTGTCCCCTTGTCATGGATACCCCAGACAATCCTATCGCAGATCATTGACTCCTCTACACTGAAAAACCAAATGCGGAGAATTCCGCATTTGAAATGCGGTTTAGGTAAGTGACCGCATGAAGTGATGCGGTCACCTGAATAGCCAGGATTTTGATGCAATTTCACCGCAGGAGTCATGCGGTGTAAAATTTAACCGCATTTCCTGATGCGGTTTCCATTTTGACCGCATGAACAGATGCGGAGTCCTACATTTCATAACAGCCAAACAGCTAGCGGCTGCTACCAACTTTCCGTCTCTTACTGGACAACCAGAAAAGGATGGCATGTACTGTGCCTTCTCATTTACTTCTGATGCTTATCATTGACTAACTAACACATACCTTTGATGTAAATGTTTGTAACGCTGCGATGAGTAAATATCCTGTGTTTGAAACAGCAAGCCACGGAATAATAATTTTGGCTGTATAAAATGTTGATTGACACTGGATATTGTTCCAAATGCAGTATCAAACTATTGTTATTCATCACTTTAAATTATTTTTAGCCTCAAACTTCTTGGTGATACTAGTTTCCATGAGCCAGGCTATGCTGCATGCTGGTAAGGTTAAACCCGCCGGCTGCTTGACTGAAGAATTGTCTGTGCTGCTGTATTTGAACAAGCCAACGCACACGACGCACTACAGCATTTCTTTGATTGAGGTTATTTCATAATTTCAGGGTCTGAATCATTCCAAACCATTGCAAGAACGTTTTCTAAAGGAATAATCTTTCAAATCTCTGACACTATCACACAAATCAACAACAAAATAAATAAGCTAAACAAAAACAAAGGAGTGCCAACATAAGAAAATAACATCTTATGAGTCAGAAAGTTAACTATAAAGTTGTTCTTTTGTGTGAGTCGTTCATCAAATTTTAAGCTTTAAGAAACAAACCATTCCCTTAAAAATCCCTAAAATACATCCAAAGTTGGTTTTACTTTAACGCTAGCACGTTCCCAAGATCTTAGGTTGGCACTACCATCTTCTTGTTGTTAGGCTTGTTTTGTTTGGTTCTCTATGAGAGTGTGTGTCTTGAACTTTCTTTGTGTGAAAAAACGATTTTTCAATAGTTGTGGATGTTTTAAAGCATAAAACTATGAATATTACTAAAATACAGTTGTACTGTAGTGCTTCGCATGTGTTGACATGCTTCTATATTGCAGTATTGAAAATATTTGTGCCAAAGCAACCCGGTCACTTAACCTCAACCTTGCCCTGGGCTGGACAACATTGGAAACCTCAGTGCTGTTCTCACCGAAGACTGCCGAGGACTTGAAAGATAAAAAGAATTTTGAATTGTGTTTTCAAATTGTGTGACAATTCATCTCTAAAAAAATGCAGTTTTAATCATTGGTTTTTATTTTAAAAAAACTACTTAATGAGGCTGATATCGCTGTTAACTTTACGCTCATCTCAGCGTTACAAACATCTACATGACAGGTATGTACTGGTTTCCCAAATAATATTGTTTAAGAAGTAAATGAGATGGCCAAGTAAACGTAACCACTTTGAGGATGGACTGGGAAGGGAAGTTGCCACTGCTGTAAATATCGTGGGATCTTCAAATCCACCTCAACTAATGCGGTCAAAACTGAGACCGCATCAGTTTGGCACACACCGCAGGAGTAAATGAAGTCAATCTTCTCCGCATCAGTTAGTGCGGTCAAATTGATAGAAAATTACACCGCATCAGATTGTGCGGAATCCTCCGCATTTGTTTTCTCAGTGTAGCGTGAGGTATGCACAGGATTTGGCAAGGCTCGTTATATCTAACAGGAAAGCAGAGAATGGCTCTCCTTCCTTTTGATTTCTCCTGTTGAATAGCTCCCTGCACGATGTAGTATTATTTTCAAGAGTGTACTCAACAACCTTACTAATGACAGATTGACAGTCTTTCCTTTTGTCAACCTGTGCTGTGACTCAGTTTCAGTGCGAGTTTCAGTCAATAGACTCTCCTTGAACGAGTTGTATAACTCTAACACATCACCTGCGTGGGACATGAGGATCGCCCATCTTACTTTAGGGGTGAGCTCACATAAAGCATATTCATGATACGGAGCAATTCGACAATGCCTTCATTATCTTCGCAGTAATGAAGCAAATATTTCATAGGCTTTTTAGAGTGCCCGCACATTGCAGTCTGTGCACTTCATGAAGTAAGAACTTCCCGAAGAATTATCACTTCGTACCGGAAATCCTTCGTAATACGAAGAATTTCTGCATAATACGGAGCAATTTACAATGCCTTCATTTCGTAGGGTTTTTAATGCCCGCATATTGCAGTCTGTGCACTTCATACATGTATCCATTTTGGCGAGCATTCACTCGGAAATGTATCCGTCGTCAATTGTATGAGTCACAACTTATCCCGGCTTCCCCTGTTTCCATGGCGTACGGACACTGAAAACACTCGCGGACGACAAGCTCACCCACTGACACTGGCACACAGTAAAAACTCTACGAAGAATCGCAGCGTTATACGAAGAAAATGAAGGTATTGTAAAGTCCACGAGGAAGTGCTTCGTATCATGAAGCATGTCGTTATAATACCAAGCAATTCTACAACGCCTTCATTTTCATCGTAGTTGTGAAGCAAATGCTTGGTAGGCTTTTTAAAGTGCACTGGCCGAGTGGAGCTTAGCGACGGACTGCCGGCCGGTCGAAGTTCGTCGTAACCACACGGGCGGTAGTGTCGCGTTGCGTCGAGAGACCAGACGTCAGCTGCATTTACACTTAGTTTTAAAGTTCCGTTCTGTATATCTGGTGGGATTCATATCTGCGCTGTAAAAAATTCCGTCCAGTGTACACTGTGAAAATTTGTTGTCACTTTATTACAAAGTAGTAGATGATATTTTTATCACGACAGTCTCATCACAAATTGACGACATTTTCATCAAAGCTAAATCTCTCATTCTCATACTTATTGCGGGCGTGACAACAATGCCATCAATCGTTGTGATGACATTGTTGTAAGGATACTTCGTCTTGTGTCGTCATCAAGTGACGACTCAAATTTTTAGTTTATAGAGTGAAGAAATTGTACGGCTTTGGTATAGGGTATTCCAACGCCCTCCCAGAAGGAAGTGAGAAGAACGACAACAGCAGTCAAAAATGGCAGTTATCATGCGAAATCTACGCGGCGGACGAACTTCGCCGCGTAAATTTCTCATCAATACTCCCATCTATCCCTTCCGTTCTGGAAGAGCATTGGAATACCCTATCCTTGTGTTTCTCCTCGACAGGGAGGTGGGTCGCAAGCGAGCTGCATGCTGTAGCCTACTCCTCACCATGGCAGCAGTGTTTCTTGGAGGGTACGAGCTGGAACACAAGCACCTGGAGTGTCCGGCCAACTGGGAAAGCGACTACTTGAGCGAGGAGGGGTGCGACGACACTGCGGACAAGCTGTGCCTCAGCCCCTCGGCCTGGACGGACGTTCTGGAGCGCTTCAAGCTGGCGTGGAGCTTCTGGGAGCTCTCGAAGAAGGACAAAGCGCGGGAGTACCTCGTGGAGTGCTACATGCGGCTCCTACCGGACCCCGTTTTCCACAAGGACTGCGGCCTCGTCGGTGACTACAGGTGTGTGCATGTTAGTGTTGACGCTGGGAACATCCGATGGGCCCAAAGGGTCGTCAACTCACATCGCGCAAGTACGATGTAATGCAGCAATAATGGCAATATACATGCCACCGGCTTTTGGCTTATTTTCCATGCTAACTTTTTTAATATATTTGTGCCGCCTTTCAATTTTTTGTTAATGTTATGGATTTTTAACGTAAATACAAAAGTATAATATGCAACCTGTGTTGTGAACGAAGTAGCATGCGAGTAGACGACCCCTCGGATAGGCCCTTAAACGGCGTATAAATGAAGGAACTTTGCAATTTTTTTGCCGAAGGTAATTCCAGACCTGTTATTACGAAGGTTCTTTGTCTATTAAAGATGGTTCCCTGTAAATTTACGGAGGATCTTTGTAGATTTATGAAGGTGCTTCGTACTCTGCAAACTCCACAGTGTACACAGTACACTCTCTTTCGCGTGTACTCACGAGTACACTCTCTTCAGCGTGTACACAGTACACTATCGTCAGCGTGTGCTCAGGAGCACACTCCCACGAGCGTGTACTCAACTGCATACACTGTTCGAAAATTTCTCGTGAATTTACAAAGATTTCACTGGAAATTTTTAGAAACGAGAGCTTTGTAAAACCTAGTTGATGAAGTATGCCGTGAAATTCAAAAATTTATCGTAAACATCAATTTACAAGATACTTTGTAAATCTAAAAAACATTCCGGTACATTTGTGATAGCTGTAAGTAACATGCACCCTAGCATGCAGCAAATAGTGCTAAGAAAAATGTTCGTCGGAGACTCTAAACCAGGACTTTCTTACCCGCCGGCAGCAGCTACCACAGCTCTGCAACGGCAGTTGAAGCTCAATGACCAGCTGGCTTTGGCAATCTCTACAACGTATTTTGTCAATTTCACAACTGTTTCATTTGTCAACAAAATGTTTGCTAAAAATATCACAAATATCGTTTTGTGGCTAATACAAGATTAATAATGTCAAAGTACGAAATATTCTCCAAATTTCAAGACACCTTTTTTAAAGAATATTTTACGAAATGTTTCGTGCTAAAATATTTCGTAAATTAACAAAAATTTCTATCAGTGTATATTTCTAGGATCTGAGCACACTCTTGTTGGAGTGTACTCATCTAAGCACACTCTCGTTAGTGTGAACTCATCTAAGCACACACTCGTTGAAATGTACTCCGTAATTCCACTCTCAATTGGAGTGTACTTGTGAGTACACGCTGAACAGAGTGTACTAAGCACACTGTTGAGTTTGCAGAGTAAATCTTCATTGTGTTTGTAAAATCGACAGAGGTCCTTCAAAAAATTTTCAAAGGATTTTGTAAATATACGAAAGGCTTCGTAAATTAACGAAGGAACCGTCGGCGATTATTTTGCCGAAGGATCCGTCGTTTATTCCAAACATTAATTTTTACAGTGAAAGAATGTGACACTTCGTCACATTCATGACGAAGGCGTTTGCAACTACGCGGATTCGAATTAATTTTACAGGCCTGCCCTGCGACTCGTGCTGGACTCAACGTGGGCCATGATGCGCGTTGAGTGCGTTGTAGATCAGCACGACGCAGTCAACTTGAACAAGTTCGTCGCGAGCGTGCAGCCCCTCAGCAAGTTGGATGAAAAGCAGCGAGCAGCCGTGTACGCCATCCGAGGGTGTCTTGCCCCTGATCAAGGTAAGCTTACACTGTAAATGTCTTACGGTGAAGGGCTGCACCAACATAATATGGTGGAGATTTTCTCCATAATACCAACGAAATTCGTCAAAATCTCTATAAGGTATAGTGAATTCTCAATGGTATGTTACGAAGTCAGCTGCACCACCATAATATGGAACATTTTCACCATAATATGGAGAATCTTCACTGTAGAACATTTAGAGTGTACACGAATACCGGTTTCTGGTTTTCTCAGGAAGCCCATGGTAAAGGCATAGGCGGTTTCCACGGAGTTCCTGGGAAAACCTGGTACAGTTTTTACCGTATGCTGCTCCGGTAGAGGAATTGCAAATTCCGTCACTTGCATCTCTTCTAAGGATAACCCAAAACATTTTTCAAGACTTTCCGTCCTAATGAAAGATGCAGGAAGATTTTTCCCCAACGCTCTAAAAACACTAAAAAGCCGCTTTTCTCAGAGACCGTTCAACATTTTGGATTAAATTTTGTTTAGGGAACTCACCATAATGGACCTAATAATTTAGCAAAGTTTCAACTTTCTGGGATTATTTTAAAGCCTACTTGGAAGTTTCACCAGGGTGTCCCCTTACCAAGGGACATCACTCCAAAAACAGTGATTTCGTAAAAACGTCTTAACTACCAAACCAAAAGACGTAAATTGTTCATATTTTAACAGATAAAAGTATAAAACAACACAAAGTCAATCCACCAGGGCAGTGCAAGGCTTTCGTTGAAAACACATTTTTGAGTGTTAGTTTAGACCATTTCGCACTGCAGCGCTGCAGCGTCCATGGACGCCAAACCAAACGGTTTGACCTAGAACAACGAAATTTGGTGAAAACCTTCCTGAGATGTATGGCTATGGTGGGTACCTCAATCTTATTTTAAAAATAATTTTCAGTCACATTTGTTAAATACCAAAAATTTATGGTTCAATTTTATTTTTTTTGTCAAAATTGTTCAATTTTGAACGTTAAAAAATAATGAAACTTGACCAATGCAAACTTTTTTGCTACCCACCATAGCGGCATGTCGTAGGAGCTTCCATGCTAAATCTCACCGCTGTAGCTCAAAAACTACGCCATAGAGGGCTGCAACCGTTTGCAATTTCATGTTCCGAGTAAAACGCGATCAAAGTTGGGGAAACTGGGCTTTTCCCCTGTGCATGGTTGCGGCCCACAACCTCCTAAATCTGCATTTTTTTTAAGTTTTGTAATTCGGTTTTCGCCATTTGACGCAGAGAAGAATAATCCATAATATAATCTATTAAAAAGAAGGTTGCAATTTTTGACCATTTTGGAGTGATGTGCCCCCTCAAGTGAATTAAATCACAGACTATATTGATTTGTAGCTGTATCAAATGATCAAACTCAGTGACGCCTGCGCTTTAGATTATATTATTTTGGGGGAACGACCATAAGATCTTTTGAATAGGACCCGTCGAAATGCAGATCGAGGGATGAGATAATGACTCAAGCGATTCCTTCAAAACGGGTTATTGCAGTAGTTGTTCGAACTTTCCATGTCGTAAGTCTGTAAAGAAAATAAAAGCATAACGCGGATGCCTTGTTCTCAGATCGTCAGCGGTGGCTGCGAAAATCCATCAAGTTGAGTCCGGGCGAAGGGCAATGGGGCTATTACCTGGGTTGGATGCTCCAGGAAGACCGACACGGGAAAAAGACGCCATCCAAGGAAGAGGTAAGGATTTTTCGCTGCGGCAGGTGCGCGCATGATTGCACCGGACACTCGCCAAGCTCACCAGTGTACGCTCACCTAAAACCATTCGAACTATTTTGGACCTTTCTAAGAAAAGAACTGATTATAACCAAGTGTTTTGAGCACAGAAGCGTACTACGAAAATACTTCGAACACTCTCACACTCTCATTCCAGGAACGTGACATCACGTTGAAACGAACGTGACAAAATGCCACGTTCATTTGAACATTGTGTCACGTTCGTTTGAATGCGAACAAGCTGATTTTTGGCCAATTCACACCCATACGAATGTGACACAATGCCGAAACGAGCGTGACATGTTGTCACGTTCGTTTTTACGTGATGTCACGTTCTTGAAATGAGAGTGCAATTTCCTACTGTGAAATGATGTGCAGTCATAATGCTAGGTAGCTAATTCTCAGCTACTTTACCTATCATAATTCAGAGAAAAATGTTCGCTTTATGAAGAATCGAAGAACCGCACCCATGGTCGTAAGTTACTGAGAGCCCTTCTTCGTAGGGTATTGAGCTTTTTATTCGTATTACGGCAGTGGCGAATCCAGAGTCGGCCCAAGGGGGGGGGGCAAAGTAGCACTTTTTGCCTACTTACAGGGGCAAATCGGTGCTTTTTGCCTACCTTTCAGGCGGCTATCTAGGGGTCAAGGGGGGGGGGGGGGCAATTGTCCTTTTGTCCCCCCCCCCTGGATCCGCGCTTGTGTTACGGTGCAAAAGCCCAGTAAGATCTTGGGACTTTCATTTACGAATTATTTCTTCGTACAACAATCCAAATAGCTGCATGTACTACCACACTGTTATTCAAACTGCGATAACCACTGTCTATATTTTGCAATAAAAAACTTATCACATTTTTCTGCTATGATGACAACTAAATATCTGCAATAAAAAATTTATAGCTAAATTTTGCAATAAAGTATCACACTTTTGCGATAATGACTACAAAGAAAACGCCCTAAAAAGTTATCGTAGAAAAAGTGTGATAAAAGTTACCACAAAACGCTCTATTATCGCAAAACTTATGGGGTGGTTATTGCAAAAAAAAGTGCAATAACAAAATTATCGCACTCCAGGATGCGATAAATCGTGGGAATCGCAGACTCGGTTTTATCGCAAAAATTTGTAGTGAAAGTGTCGCAAAATGAATGCCAGTGCAGGCGTTCACTAAGAATCCAAACGCTATGAGTATGGCGTCAATAGACACTTCTAGCAGGGCCTGAAGACCGGAACCAGTATAAGAAATCAGGCCTTTTCGGGGGTTTTGGCAGGTTTAAATCAAATTGTTGCACAAATTTAAATGTTTGGATTGAGAATAAACATTCGTAATGAAGAAATAAGCGTAATTTGGCAGCTGTTTCCGTCCTATGTTCTTGTTCTTCACTCCAGGCTCTGCTAGAAGTGTTTTTTGGTGCAATGCAAAAGGATTGCACGTGAAGTGCAATGCCTCTCAATTCCCATGCATTAGCATAGGGCATTTTCGGGGAACATTGCACCTAAGGTGCAATATGGCTGTGACATTGCACGTAAGGTGCGATATCTCAGCGCATTGCACCATACGTGCTATACTCATAGCGTTTGGAATCTCAGTGTATTAAGGTGTGATCTCATCCGAGCACACTCACATGGCTGTATTAACTTGTGAGTTCGTGCCCAATAGTGTGTACTGAGTGCACTACTGTCTAGTTTTAAAAGCTCCCGGACTAGCAGGCCTGCTGATGGCGCGCAACCACCGGTGCTACCAGGGGGCGGCAACGGCCTAGGAAGCGCGTGAAGCCATGCGCGAGTGAGGTGCAGGGGTTACTTATTTTGCTTCGATTGTAAGATCTGGCCCGTTGATTGCAAAACGCTTTGCACAGATGAAAAGAGCACAAAATTTGGGGTGCATTAGGCCTAGTAGACTGCCCGATACTTCCAATTCAACCGAACACAAGGGCGGAATCATTTACATCAACATGGCGCACTCGAGTTTTTCCTCAACGTTATGATTTCTCGTGTTTTTCAGTGTTTTCACTGCACCTTAATATTAGGTAAGGGGGGAGTTTCGAGAAGAGCAATTAGCCATATGCGCCCTAAATTTCAAGCCCTTTCCATCGGTGCAAAGCGTTTTGAAAAACACAGTCTAGTTTTCATAATCTCGAGGAAGTACGCAACCTCTGCACTGACGGCGCGAGCATCGCTTCACGTTCTCCCAAGGCTGTTGCCACCCCCTGGGACTAGGTACGATATCAACAATCTCTCGAAATCGGTGCAGTAACAGTTTGCTGATAATGCGTCTTTTCATTAACACATCAAAATTTTTAAATAGTGCTGTTCTGGGTGAACACTTGCGCGATAGTAGCGATAGTAGACCACTTTTCACTTGGGTACTCCAATGAATCTTGAAACGGGAGAAGAACAAAATTAAGCCCTAAAAACAGCTTGTGCGCATGCGCAGACGTTCCCCCACCACCGGGTGCGCATGCGCAGATGCTGTTTATAGGGCTTACTTTTGTTCTTCTCCCGTTTCAAGATTCATTGGAGTACCCTCTTGCAGTAACCCCGTTGCTTGTGACGTTGGTTTTGCTTCTTTGATGCTTAAAAACTCAAATAAAGTAGTTTTTTTTTTCTTTTTCATTTTTGCTGTCCAGCTCAGGCTGCTCCGAAATGCGTACAAGCTGCGGAAAGATCCAGACTCCATTCTGCGTCTGGCCAGGAGTTTAATCGAGTGTGGCCCAAGTCGGTTAGCGGAAGCTGAAGCTCTCGTCGAGGAGGCCCTGACACTGTACCCGGACCATCCTCGGGCTCTCACGAACGTATGTATCTCTGCGGGTTGTGGTGGTGGACATTAAACGAAAGAACCACATGCACTGTGGCAAAAAGCTATGGAACCCGCGTGGGAGAATCTGCAGTCTGAATTGCACCCAGGAACTGAAGTCACATCACGCATAATATTATGCAAATTCCCCGCATGCACAAAATCGTGCAAGTGGCACGTACAAAATTCTACATCAACAGTTAGTGTGTAAGGCGTGCTTACTATTACGCCCTTCGTGAAGCGTACAGCCAGTACGCCCTTCTTTAAGCGTACAAGAGTTCATGCGCTCCTTTCTTCCTATCTAAATGCATGGGGGAATTGCCTTGAAGCGCAGTTGTACGCTTCTAGAAGGGCGTACAGTCTTATTGAAGCGTAGTTGTACGCTTGAATGAAGCTTACAACTACGCTTAAGTTTTACCAGTGTCATTATTCTATTAAAATATCGGGTCAACTTTTGACTCGAATCAATTGTTATTACAAGTAATTTCTTTTAGATATTTTTTTAAAGCATGCACACTTGTTGAAGGTTGAAATCATAGTAATGAGCCAAGAACATTTTGAAAATATGCGACATTTTCGTAAATAAACGACGTTTTTGGCCCGTCCCGTTCATTTTTTGTAAAAAAATGACGGAGGGACGGGCATATAGTATGATCCCTGCTGTGCGTCCGTCCGTCCGTCCGTCCGTCCGTTCGTCCGAGGACTTTCCGTGGTCCGATCTTGACCAAATTTGGTATGCAGCCTTCTTGGGTGACCCTAAGAACCGCCCGGTGGCAGCAAATCCGATCCGAGCCCCGGGGGCGCTGCTGCAGGTGCATCATGGTCTACATGGGGTCGAGGAGGATCTCGGCAACGGATGCAGCTAGGAGGGCATGTAGGGGTATTTTTGGAATCGGGGCGACGAGAAAAAAACAATGGTGCCAGTTTCGAGCGAATCGGTGAAGTTCGGACCCGGGTTCAAATGCCAGCGGGGTATTTTTTGAACATTCTTTTTATTCGAGTTTTTGCATTGTTTCTGATGTTTTTAAGGGTGCTGATGACGAAAATGACATTAATTTTAACCCCAGATTCAGGTTTTAATTCCGTCGGGGTCAAACATAGGTGAAATTCGTACGTTTCTTAATGTACGGGACGGGCCAAAGTTGCCGATGTATATCGCTACTTTTCCTGTTATTGTGTAATGACAAGCAAATCGTAAAAGAAAAAAAACCAAACTTCTTTCGTTATTTTACGAGAAGTTTTATTATAGTTGAGTTTTACAGTGTACAACTGACCGTTTTGCAGGGCGCCAACCTGCTGGCCAGGCTGAGGGAGAACAGCCCCGCAGTGCTCCGCCGGATGCACCATCTCTACAAGCGCGCGCAAACCATCGTCGGAGATCGGGCCTTCATTCACCTCAAGCTGGCCGCGCTTTGCTTCATGTCCGGCATGAAGGAGGAGGGCGACGAGCACTTGAACTTTGCCTTCGACCTGAATCCAAGCGTTTGCAAGATATTTGTTGAGAACACCGGCATGCCGATCCGTCTTGACTAACGTGTTGGCTTTTCGTTTCTTTTGCGGTGTCTGAAGCTCATGTACGTCAAATTAATTATTTTCGTTTGTTTCTGACTCATGGTTCTTATCGAGTGGATTTGATCCTGGTTTTGTTGCTTGTCGCATTGCCTTATAATTGATTTTTATTATTGGTTTATTATACGTCTCCCACGACAGTGTGTTAGGTGTCAGGTGGAGCTTCTGTTGTGATCGGACTGTACTGGTTGTCATATTAATGTCGTATGGGCTACAAATATTAATTAAATACATTAATTCACACCGATTAAGATTTAGTACTTCATTTTCAACACTTGTCTTTTGTCTTCTAATTATCATAAATTAATGGCACGCTGAACTACCATTATGGTTGTTCTGAAACTACACCCCTTAACAATACACCCATCAAAGTGACCAGGTGCGTGCATTGTACGCATCCTTGTTCTGAAGCACTTTTAAGTGCTTGACAGGGCCCGAATCCCATTAAAATTATGCAGAATACTATCCACTTAAGGTGCGTAGAAATATATGCCAATATTCCTAAAGGCGTGCCATTTTCTTTGGCATACGCCTGAGGCCCATAGATTCAGCCAGAATAGCAGTTCAGGGCTCCGCACTGTTAGAAATTTTGTCGTAAATTAGCAACAAAAATGTCGCTAATTTTCTTTGCGACGGTCGTCGTTCTTCAGCTATTTCGTAGTAATTCAACGACTTTAAAATCATCAAATTTTTAAGATTTAAGAGCCTTCACCCGAGGGTGCCATTCCTTCGGTTTGGAAACATTTTAGGGTGGATCATACTGGTTGATCCAATGTCCTCCTGCAGGCCAGAGCCAGGATCGGGGTGGGCTCTAGTGCACTGATTTTTTAAATGTAATAATGAACTAATATAAAAAGCAATAACATTTTTATGGCATTGGTAGTGCCATGAAAAAGTTATTGCATTATAAGTGCAATAATTGTTGTATGGCATTAGCACATTTATCGCATTATTAGCGTAGTTATCATTTTATCACACCAAAACTGCGATAATCTGGGCCCAGACCGGCCAAAACCTAAGGGACTTATTGCATTTTTAATGCGATAATTATTTTATTGCTGCCACAGATGCGATAATTTGAAGGAATCACATTTGCCTTTTTATCGCAGCAAATTGTATGAAACTTATCACATTAGAAATACCAGTGTGGGCTTCGCGCCTTTCCGCCAAACCCACTAAAAGCCCGACCCGCGTAGAGCCCACCCGCTTAGAGCCCGACCCACGAAAAGCCCACTCCGGCCGACAAAGCCCACGTTCCGTAGTGGGTTTCTTGAGCCCACTAGCCCGTTCGGCTGCTGCCGTCTGCCCGCCCCGCCTCTCCCCTCGCCTGTACCTGTCGCAAATCGTCCCGACAGGTGCTGCAACCTAGTGGACAGAGGTTGACCCTAGAGACGCCTAATGGGCTTGAGAAGCCCACTACGGGATCGTGGGCTCTTAGTTGGCTTGGGAAGCCCACATGGGCTCGCTGAGTCAAGCCCACTTAGCCCACCCTGATCCCGGCTCTGCTGCAGGCTACAGCCCTTATCACAGTGTCCAACCAGTTCATGCCAGACATGTAGAAGGCATGTCAGTTTAGAAACGCGTGTCCAGTAGAACACAAGGCACCCCATTGCCCTCCGCTAGTTTCCGTCGACGGGGTAAATACTTGTGTAATCCAGCTGACGGCGACTTAATCCGCCATCCGGATTACCAGAAATTTGGAGGTTATCCTAGGGTTATCCTGGCTATATTTGATGTAATACGGAGGTAATCCGGGTAATCGTCACTGCGGCTGATAAGAAATTTACCTGTCGTTAACGCTTCACTTTCCGTGACGCCTGAAAAATTCACGCAAGGCGGCCAAGTCGTCAGGGCCCGATAATTGGACGCGACATGAGGAAAGGCACGGCGCGACCAGAGGCGGTGTAGTGCCACATCCACCATGGCCACCCCGGGGTGCTGGGCGTTGCGTCGGCAGCTCGGCCTCCAGGATGGCGACGTGGGACAGCTGCAGCGCGCGATGCTGCTCGCCCTGCAGACCGTAGGTATAAATTGAGTCATACTCCATGGAGGAGGACGTGCGCGCAGTTGGCCAAAAGACTGTTGGAGGTGGAGGCGGTCAAAACAGCGGACGCGTTTTGAGCTCCAGAGTCACTGAATGAGACCAATGGGACAAGTGGTGCACCTTGGTATAAGTCGAAGACAAACTATGTCCGGTCACTTTTGCGGCATCCGGAAGCTTCAATCGCAAGTTGAAGAGGCGCCCCCCCCCCCTGCGTCGCCCCTGGCACCATGGCCGTCGCCCTGCGCATTTGAGAAGCGCAACGGTGAAGCTGTTCCTGTTCGAGCCCTGGTGGGAAAATTTAAACTTTTTTGAATTTTGGGCATACTTTAAGGTGTCTCCTTTCCAAAAATGCCCGAGCCATCTGAAAAATCGCATATCTAGTCGGAGAAATAGTGAACTACAATTCGCAAGGCAGAGATTCCAGCCAGCTCCGTTGCGAGTCCATACCCCTTGTCTCATGGTGCAATGCCACAGCCATATTGCGTCTAACGTGCAATCCTTCCCGAAAATGCCCTATGCTAATGCATGGGAACGGGGAGGCATTGCACTTCATGTGCAATGCTTTTGTATTGCACCAATTGACGCCAACTCATAGCGTTTGGATTATCAGCGTGTAAACTGAGGAACTGGTGCATTTCAATGCCCCTTAATAGTTGGGAAGGAGACAACCTCAAAGAATGACCAAAATTAAATGTCCCCAGTCAACAAAACATAGTCCCGTGGACGTCCGAGGGACGTCCGGCCGGGACTACCCGGACCTCCCGGTCGGACGTCCGAGGGGACCTCCAGATGGCAAAGAAAACCAGTCCCTGGGTAGTCCGTGGGACGTCCGACCCGGACGTCCCGGGTAGACGTCCCGTGGACCTCTGCCACGGACGTCCGTAGGGACTATCCCGGGGGACGTCCATCGGACCACCGAGGGACGTCCCATGTTCAGCGTTAAAAATTTTGGTTAAAATTTGAATTCAAGTGTGTTAGAATGCCCTCAATTTGCCACTCCCGCCCATCCTTACCTTTCACCTTTCCCTTCGGACGATGAAAACTCGTTGCACTTGGGGAGAGTCGAACCTCCGACCTTCAGGTTGTGAAGCAGCGCACTTATCCACTGTGCCATGCCGCTCTCATGCATGATGACGTGCAGTGTCTCGACTACATGATACGTCGCGTCCACCGTGGCGATGTCCCCGGCGGACGTCCCGGGGAGGTCCCAGGAAGGTCCCGCGCGGACCATGCCCGGGACCATATGCATAGGTCTCGTTTCACCCAGTGAGACATGACTTTGGTATTTTCCTTCAAAGTGTTGTCATCTCATCGAAAGGGCCATGTCCGAAAAGTATGTACCTGGGACGTCCTCAAAGGACATCCCCCGGGACTTCCCGCTAGGACCAGCTAGGGACCACTGGCAGTCGGGCGTGTTGCCTATGCGCCAGGGGCCATGTCCCAATAGGACGTCCCTGGGACGTCCGCAAAGGATATCCGCCGGGATTAGCCCGGCGGCACAGGCCTGGGACCACTGGTACATCGGCGTTTTGTCCGAGCACCGCGGGGCCATGTCCCTAAAGGACGTCCTTGGGACGACCCAGGGACGTCGGCCGGAACTAGCCCTTCGCGACTATTGACGGGTCCCGATGGGATGTCCGCCGGACCTCTGGCGGACGTCTGCTGTCGGCTGGACCCGCCGATTGCACCGGCCGGGTGGTCCGAGCGGACGTCCCTGGGAGGTCCACGAGGGACATCCCCAGGGGACCATGCAGGGACCACTATAGGGCGATAGTCCTAACATGGTCCGTCCCGGACCGGGACTATGTTTTGTTGACTGGGAGGTTGCCGATGTGTATCACCACTTTTCCTGTTATTTAATTGCAGTTTTGCATTGTTTTAAACAGGTCAATAGACCTCGGCCCAGGAGCGGTCCACTGCCTCAGGCCCAGCCTCAATTCGGCCCACAATCCGTTGTGGAAGGATCCCCACCTTGTCACTGCCCCTGACCCTTTCGGAGTTATCGATCCTTTTGTATAATTGGCCCCTCCCATGCATTTATAAAATAGTACAAGAGGGACGGCCATAAAGTATGATGCGTGCTGTGCGTTCCCGGGTGGAAGGGAGTGCAGTTTTGACTGAGTGCAGACTACAGTCATAAACTGCAGTTCAGAAACGCCAGTTTTAAAAGTACTTTAAATGTAGTTTAACTCTGTAGATCGAAACGTAGTATAGAGGGCATTTTCAACAGCAGTACAGGTACAATTAAATTGCAGTCTCACGTGCAGTTCTTAAATACAGTTTTAACTCCAGTGTAGTCGGAACTTAAATTGTACTTCCGTTTGCAAAAAGCAAGCACACTTCGGGAGTGTAAATAAATTGTTGTTTGACTACAATTTTGGTTGCCCTTTTTTGCAGTTGTGTGAGCAACTTCATAGTTCAGCCAAATCAGTGTCCTATTTTGTCCCAATTCCAAATAATTTCACCAAATTTAGTTCCTTTTGTGTGTTTGAATAACCAGAATATTGGTGTTCAGTCAGTTGCGCGGAATTAGTTAAGATAAAGCAACGGCAGCGGTTCTAATACGGATTCTTTTAGCCCTATCGTTTATAAAAATTATCCGCTAATATAATTGTGAGGCTTACGGTATAAAACGTGAGTTTGCGTAGAAATTGTGATAGCCAAGTGCACATTATCTATGGTTATACTGCATTAAAACTGTAGTTGAACTGCAGTGCCCGATCAGTGGGTCACGAGAGGGGGTCTTGTCATGTGGTCCGGGTCGTGCACGTCTCCGGACACGCCCGCCTGCCAGCGTAGTGGTCAAGTCCTCCGATCCACGACCCGGAGGACCGTCGTTCGAATACCATCACCGCCTTCAACTTTCATCATCAAAAGTCGTTGAGTAACGAAGGAGAAGGGGTTGGGTGGGTGGGAGAGAGTTCCCGCAGAACAAGGAATAAAGTTTTAAAAAATAAATTTTAAAACTATAGTTAAAAGATACTTCTCAACTCCAGTTTTAACTGCTATTTTTAAAACGAGAGATGACCGTAGTCTAAACTGCAGATTCGACTGCAGTATTACAAAAAAACTACCAGTTTATTTGCAAGAAAACTGTAGTTAACTGTAGTTTAACTGTAGTTTCACTACAGTTAAACTGCTGTATCTACATAAGTCCAACTGCAGTCTAAGTATATATTTGTTTGTATGCAGCCTGCCATTTGTAAC